CGCGACGCCAGTCAGCGGCGCACATGACTCTGGATGACACGAGGCTGCCCGTGCAATGGTCTCCACTGGTGAGCCCATCTCGATGCGTCTTTGTTCACCACTAACTACACTAACTACTCTGGACCCTCGGTCCTGGATCGCAGGCGTCCCTGGATCTCGGTGAATAAGCCATCGCTTGTAAGCACGCACTGGGCTCGGAGCACCTGAGCCAATCTCGGTGTGTCATCCTCCGGTAAATCAGGCAAACCCGTCAGTTGGACTGTGCACGCACTCGTATGGTAAGGCTGAACCTCTACCGATGCGGTGCACCGTGCCACAGCAAAGACATAGCTGGTCCCAAATTTGCCAGCATCAACAGAGGATTGCAAAATGAAAGGGTAGTGGACACTCGCTTTCGTGGTTGGCATCAAAATGCCAAAGACAGCTGGGCATAAAATTTGAATGAATGAAATGTAACTCATAAGTTACAGCAAAACGCGTCACCACAAAGACAAAGAAAGGCACTAACTTGGCCAGCATTCATTGGTGTTAAAATGGGTAGGCCAGCTGTGCATTTTGACTCGGACTATACTTAGGCAGCTGACAAGGCTGGTGTTTGCCTGTAGATGTCTCGATGTCACCTGCATTAAACCTGCACTCCTCCCCTGCACTCCTAAACTAGGAGGGGGCTGGGAGGTCTTTAAAAAGATGCAACCATAGACGTGTGATTGACAGACACTTGGTCAGTAACAGGTTTATTTCTACGACAGGAAAGATAATTGTGCAGAATGCCATTCCAGAAACAAAATGTGCACTGAGTCTGAAGAACTAATTGCTCAACTTGCTCTGTGAGAGCAGCAAGCTGCACTAGCCAGGGGGCTCCGAAGCTGATGCAGAAGCAACGGTGGTCTCTGCCGTAGAGACGAGACACACTTTTTTGGCCACTGGTCGAGCCGGCAAAGAAAGCCAGGACCGCACCAGGCCGCAAGAGTGCCCACAGGGGCCTGGGCTTGCGCAGCAGCGCGAGCCTCTACAGTAACTCTAAGCAATTGCAAATTCGGCGGTCAGTAGGGCGTGCATGTCGGCGGGCGCGAGCGCGGGCTGCGCGGGGACACAGCTGCGCTCGACAACAGCGCGACGTGTGCGTTCGCATTGTCAAGGAGGGGGTCGGGGCGTTCAGCGCGCCCGACTCGCCGCGGCTCAACAATGGGGCCTCCGAAGACGGGGCCTCCTGCGCCGCGTCCAGGCTCACGACCAGGGGGAATACCCACCGTGGCGTGGTCCAGGACGGCGTCGGGGGCGACGGGGCCAGGAGAACGCACAGCGGACAGACAAGGACTGAGGACAGGGACTCACTCAGGGACACAAGGTCAGGGGGTCACCGGGGTCAAGGGCTTCAGGAGCTGGTCAGCGGG